GTTGCCAATCCCAGACGGCCGTTCCTTTGAGATAAAACTCATTTACCCATTGCATCCATAGGGAGTCCTTTTTCAGGTGGATATCCCATAGGTCCTTCACTAGCAAGCACCGGTTCCATGTGCGCAAGCATCGAAGTCCCAGCCCCCGTTCGGCCTTCGGCTTGCATAAGTGCTCCCACCCGACTTTAGGAGCACTAGTTCCCCACAAGAAGTCCCGCGCCATATCCTCAATACGACCAATAACCGTAATCGGCACCGAAAAAATCGAAAGCCAATAGCAACACGTACCTTGCACCACTGACTTCAAAATCTCCAAGCGACCCGCATATGATAACGTGTGCCCCTTCCAAGCTCCAATGGCGTGCTCGATTTTGTCAAGCAGTGGTTGGTAGTTCAGCACTCGCAGTTTAGACGCGGCGAGTGGAATACCTAAGTATCGAAAAGGGAAGGTGCCGGTGGCAAATCCGAATTCCTCCACTATCGATGTGCGTTCCGCCTCATGGACTCCGGCGAGAAAAATATTCGACTTCAAGTTGTTCGCTTGAAGCCCCGATGCACGGCCAAACTCGATGACCGTGGTGGCGAGTGTACGTATGGATGCAGCATCTCCTCTCGAAAATAGCATCAAATCGTCGGCGAAAATTAGATGCGTCAATTTGTGCACATGGCACATCGGATGGAAGTTGAGCTCTTGCTCCATCGCTCGAGTATGCAGTAGTCGCGAGAGATATTCCATGCATATAACGAAAAGATAAGGGGATAGCGGGTCCCCTTGACGAAGCCCTCTCATCCCCGGAAAAAATACCTTCGTCACTCCGTTAACCGACACCGTGTAGGATACCGAGGACACACATTCCATGATCCATCGAACCACTAAGTCCGGGAACCCCAACTCGACCAACATCGCCCTCAGAAAATCCCAATTTACGGAGTCGTAGGCCTTCCGTAAATCCATCTTGATCATGCACCGGGGAGAAATCCTTTTGCGCTCGTAACCCCGCATGATCTGCTCCACCATATGTATGTTGTCCGTGATAGATCGCCCACTCACAAAGGCTGATTGAGCACGATCTATGATAGAGGGTAACACCCTCTCAAGACGCTTCGTAATTACTTTCGCAATCACCTTGTAAATTACGTTGCAGCAAGCGATAGGCCGAAAATCACCGACCGTTTCGGCTTGGGCGGATTTCGGTATGAATACCAGTACCGTAGTGTTCCATTGTTTCAGCAGCTCCCCACTGCGGAAGAATTCCAAAGCTGCATCGGTGAGGAGGGGCCCAACTGTCGTCCACGCAGCTTTGAAAAATAAGGCCGTGTACCCATCCGGTCCCGGCGCCTTATCGTCAGCGATATCGAAAAGTGCTTCCCGTATCTCCTCCCCCGTCACCGGTTGGGTCAGCCCATCACGGTCCTCATCACTCAATTTCGGCCCCGTGGCAACAACTTGGTGGTCAACCGGTTCGCCAATAATGCGAGTGCCCAAGAAGTTTCGATAGAAAGTCTCGAATTCGCCAAGTACCTCGTCTCGGGATGTGGTGAACGTGCCATCCACCTTGCGAAGTGCTGTAATATTGTTGCGTTTAGCATTCCGCTTTGCCATCCCATGAAAAAATTTCGTCGTTCGATCCGAGTCTCGTAAGTGGTGCAGCTTCGCCTTTTGGTAGAAAAAACTCTTCTCTGCTTTCGCCAAGAACCGATATTTCTCCACCTTTGCCATCATTTCCCCACATAGTTGCTGATTATGGGGGTCATTATGGTAGATTTGCTGAATTTCCTCAAGCTCCCCCCCCACACGCTTCACCCGTTCAGATATGTCCCCGAACTCTCGCCTGTTGAACCGTTTAAGAGGGTGCTTTAGGGCCTTGAGGTTCTTGCACATGGCCCACTGACGGCTGCCCCGGTAGTTCACCGTCCATATCTCCTTAACTTCCCGTTGGAAGTCGTCGTGTTGAGTCCACATGTTGAAAAAACGAAAAGGCCGAGAAGCCGGGGGTTCGGTCCCACCTAATCGCACGATCACCGGGGAGTGGTCCGACACACCCCCGAACGGCAGGAAGTGTGCCGAGCTAGCTTCAAACTCATCACGCCACTTTTGATTTACAAGCGCACGGTCAAGTTTGCTCCACACCGTATGGTTCGTCCACGTATATTGAAATCCGGTCGAAGGTAGGTCCTCGAGTCCACTGCGACGGAAGCACGTCTGTATATCGGTCAACAAATAGGGGGTCATCAAGTTACCACCCGATTTCTCCTCCGGCTTGAGCACCACGTTGAAATCCCCCAAGCATAGCCAAGGATCGGTGATGTTCACCCCGAAATTCTCTAACTCTTGCCACAACGGTCGACGGGTGACCGGTGTGAAGAGCCCATACACAAAGCTCACGTAAACAAGGCGTTGGGTCACCATACACGTTACCTTGCAATGGATCACCTGCGACGTCATACCAAGAACTTCCACCCGAGCCACGTCCGGGTTCCAAATGACAAGGATCCGGCCTGCCGTGTGGAGGTGAAAATTATCGATCTTCATCCAGTGCCGGAACCGCCGTTCCATAATCGAGTTCAGCGTTCCCGGGTCCCAGATCTTCGTCTCCAATAAGCCACAAACCGAAAGTTTGTGCTTACCCAGGAGGTCCCCGACCTCCTTCTGCGTGAGGGAGTTGAGCAACCCCCTCACATTCCAACATCCCACAATCATTTCGACTTTGGGGGTTTCTGGCCCCCCCGCGGCTCTGCATCTTCACTCTCGACACGAACAAACTTCGACTCAACTTCCACCTCAAAATCCACGTCCTTTGGTAGCAAAATTGCAGACGGTGGTAGGTCCTTCTTTTTGATAGTGAATTTCGACTTAGGGGCTGTACCCTGGGATTTTGGGGAGTGTAGGGCATTAAACTCCACCAAGGATCCCCGGTCATCGTCATCCGCAGCATAGCACTCAGTCGAGCCATCCTCCGATTCATCATCCTCGGCACTCACGATCACCACAGCACCCACGGCTTTGTCGCCCGTTTCAGGCTCCGGATCCTCCACAAGTACCGTTCTTTTTCCAGCCCACACCGTAGTTACCGGTAGATCTTGTGCAGCACTCACCACCGGTTTCGGCTTTCGGCTACGTCCTCGCTTCACCACCGCCTCTGCTCGACATTGATCAGTTTTATGCGTCAGGGTCTGGCATTTCGAGCAAAACACCGGTTCATAGCTATACTCGATTGGGGCCTCATAGCTTTTCCCTTTCGCGTTGATCAACGTGAGAGAACGTCGTAGCGGTTTCGATGCATCCACCTCCACTTGCAGCCGAGCGAAACCTAGCCTCCCCATCTCACTCGTAACCTTGTCCATTTGTACCGGTTTGCCTATCTTTTGAGCAATCTTGCTCAGCGCCTTCTTGTTGTAGAGCTCCGCAGGTATGTTGCGTATGATCACCCACACCGGTACGAACATCATGTCGTTGATGTCAAAGTTGAAGAATTCCGGCATGGAGCGAATGTAGAGAGTCGCCAGTCCATGTTCGAATTTCCCCAGCTCCACCACCTTCATCCGATCTTGGTCCGTTGTGAATTTGAACACAATCCACCCCGTAGGGTGGATCTGAAATTTCACCGGGACCTCCCATTGAGCCTTGATCGCACGTATGGCTTCAACACCGGGGAATTTTCCCGGAAAATACGCCACGGCCAAGAAAACGCCCTTCGTTCCCCAATCAGTCTCGTCATCTTCGTCAAATTTTAGAACATTGGAGTCGTCCAATCCGGTAACCGAATCCAGTGCAAGATCCTCCGGTGGTGGTGGCCGTCCTTTGAAAAATTGAGCCCAATTCACACGTTCGCCATCACCGGACTGCATTCCCTTCGTAGAACCACGAACTTCACCCGCCGTTGATGTCTCGGCATGTGGTTTTTCCGTCGTCGTATTAGTCTCCGTTGCCGGTGTGACCGGTGTTTGCAACGGGGGTGCCGGTGTAGCACCAACCCCGTCACCGGTCACCGTTTTCCCTTTACCGGCCGTGGCCGGTTTCGGTGCACCGGCCAAGTCGGCCGGTCCCTTCCCCTTGTCCACCGCCGCGTTCCCTGCCCTCTTCCTAGCCATAACGGCCGGTTATCCCTAACCCCTTGTAACGCCCTACCCAAACCCTAGCCGTGAAGCCCACCTACACCGGCCCAAAGAAACCCTAGCCGCCCACACCGGCCCCGAAACCCTAGCCGCTCAACACCGATCCCCCCAACCCTAGCCCCACGGCCCACCCGGCCCACCGAAACCCTAGCCGACGCGGCTTCGTGGAACCCTAGCCGTCACCGGCGCCGTCAACTCACCACCGGCGATAATGGCCGACGAAGCTTCGCCGGTCTAGTTTTGGCCGGAAAACCACCCAAAACCTCCGAAATCACCACCGTTGCCACCAAAACCGAAGTTACTCTTGCCGTAGGCCGTAGATCCGGCCACCTTC